CTGGTCCACTTCAGAGTGCTCGGGCGCTCGATTGTCGTCATCGACTCCTACGCTGTCGCCAGAGAGTTATTGGACAAGAAAGCGCGGAACTACTCCGATCGACCGAAGTCGGTCATGTCGAGACTGTGCGTATTCGCTCGGGTTATTGAGATCACTGTAAGCACTAATGAACAAGAACGACGCACTCACAGGATTGGGCTGGACGATGCCAACCTTCCGATGATGCCGTACGGGCACGAGTGGCGCCAACACCGAAGGCTCTTCCAGCAAGCCCTGCAGTACAACGCTATCTACGACCGTTACCCACCGAACATCCGGAACGTCACCCGCGACTTGCTCCTGAGCCTGTTGGAAGCCCCCAAAGCTTTCTCGAGCCATATCAAACAGTGAGTTCCGTACCACCTTCGCAGCCACCAGCACTGCACGCTGCTAAACTGCTCGCGACCGAAGCTCTTTCGCAGCATCCGTCTTGAGTATCGGCTACGGAATTGAGATAGCGAGGGACGACGATTACTACGTGAACATGCTGGACGAGGCTCTAAGGATCATCGAGGACACAGTCATACCAGGCAAGTATCTCGTTGAATTGTTCCCCACCCTTCAGTGCCTCCCCGCCTGGATTCCGGGTGTACGTTTCAAGAAGGATGCGGAACACGTTGGAAAGCAGATGCAACGCGCTCGGCAGACGCTCTTCAATCATGGGAAGAGGCTGTTGGTGAGTTGATTCTGTGAGGACTATAGCGCGCATCGCACGAATCTGTGCTTTTCGCAAAGGATTCGGAGAATAGCGGCGACAGCATTATCGCCGCCATGACCCGCCGTATCGCTTCCCTCGACGGCGCGGCAGCCGCAGAAGCAGAGTTCAAGTCGTCTGGTGTCCTGATAGCCATGTACATCGGTGCGTAGTCCACGCTTCATCGAATGAGCGAGGCCGGTGTAGCTTAACGTACTATTTGATCCTAGCGGGCTCTGACACGGTGGGCTCGAAGTGCGTGGTGTCCACCGTCATGCTCACTCGGTCCTACAGACAGTTGCTTCGCTACGTGCATTCTTCCTCGCCATGGCCATGACGCCCGACGTACAGAAGAAGGCCCAGGAGGAGCTCGATAGGGTGGTCGGACGAAGCCGCCTCCCCGATTTCGACGATCGAGACAACCTGCCGTATACGAACGCGCTGGTGAAGGAGGTTACTCGCTGGAACGTTGTCGCACCCTTAGGGCTTCCTCACGCCTCCATTGAAGACGACGAATACAACGGGTACATCATCCCCAAGGACTCGGTTATCATCTCCAACCTCTGGTATGACAAATTCCAGTGACCCCCGTATATGGTACAGCATGGCACTGATCGAACTGGATAGGGCACTGTCCCGCGACCCAACAATCTACCCCGATCCAGAGGCCTTCATCCCCGAGCGTTTCCTCAAGGAAAGCAAACTCTACTCTGGCGCGCAGGACCCATACTCGTACATTTTCGGGTTCGGTAGAAGGTGCGTGGTGACCGAACGCCCCATGAGCGCGCGGCTAACTCGGGGATAGAATCTGCCCGGGCCGGCATCTCGCGGACGCCTCGCTGTTCTTAGCGTGTGCGTCAATCCTGCATACGTTCGTCATCTCGCCGCCGGTCGACGACGACGGACGACCAGTGAAACTTGAAGCGATGATGGACACCGAAAACATCATCTCGTGAGCTGCTACCACTAATGACTGACTACGCCCGATCTTGTACTCAACTATGCGCGTTCCAGACACCCGAAGGAATTCGAATGCGTTATCGAGCCACGATGGCCGGGTGTTGCAGATCTTATCAAAGCGTAGCGTCTCGACCCAAGGCGGCCCTGTACGATCCGCCCGTTCATAGTACTCTTTGCGAGGAGGTAATACTACTTGATCACACAGGGCCAGCGGCCAAGTGAAGAACGTTTCCCAGGCGCAGCGTCAAGTATATCCATGCGGGATTCCTCCCTTCCGATCTCCGAGGTACTCATGACCATGGCCGGGCTTCTACGTCCGCACCGCCTCCTGTCACTTGCTTCTTAACAGCTTTCAATGAACTTCGTTTGCGCGGCAGCGCGTCCCGTTAAGCACTGCGAGAGCTACCGCCTGCCGCCATCCGTGCAGACGATCAGTTGATATGGATTTCGGCGGCCTGCTGATCCACTTCGTATTTACCTGCCGCGCGGCGGCCGTTATAGGTTCCATGCTTCTGCACTGAGTGCCCGCGCGGTGCGTCTCGTAAGTGAAGTAAGAGGTATGTCAGCTCAACCCCGCGCGTGCGTACAGTATCTGATGTATGCCATTGGCCTGCAGGCCCGAGTAGTGGAGAACGGGCGAGGCCCAGCATATACGAAGCCTGATCTCTACGAAGATGTTCCAGTATTTAAGATGAGGAGGAGCGAATAGGTGTCCTCCCCGTCGTCGATTGCGGCGCCTTCCACTCACGATGCTACTGCATTTTCTGCTCTATGCCGCTGTGCTCACTGGCGCCATGGCCGGTCGTGCCACTGTGAGGCTTGACGGTGCCACCGTCGTCGGGACGAGCGACGGCGTCGTCACTCAGTTCCTAGGCATCCCCTTCGCCGAACCTCCGTACGCACCTAGAATTTTCCTACGCGTGATATGCGCACTGAAAAGCGTATATTGGGTACAACAGGGTCGGTGAACTGCGTCTGCAGCTACCGAAACCTATCACCAGATACAGAGGAGTCATCGATGCAACCAAGTTCGGCAACCAGTGCCTACAGCAGACCATCCCTCCGGCCGTGTTCCCGAACAAGAGTGCGCTTCCAGAGGAAATCACTCCGTTCGTGGCTGCGATGGGAGTTCCTCCGCCCGTGCCGCAGAGTGAGGACTGTGAGTATCTTTGGTTGTCTCCGAGCGCAATCACTTAACAGTCCATGTAGGTCTCAATCTGAACGTCATCGTGCCCGCCGGAGCCAAGCCTGGTGACAAGTTGCCTGTCGCTGTTGTACGTCCTACGGTGATGTCAGACCACAGTTTACTGACCTATTGTCTAGTGGATCTTCGGAGGCATGTTGATACCCCTGCAGTATGTTGCTTGATTGTGCTGACGATGTGCACAACCAGGAGGCTACCAGATTGGTTCCGATGCCGTGTACGTTTCATCCGGACGAAGTCGAGGTTGCTCCAGGACTGATCCTGTTGATTTCAGGCGTCCTGGGCAGGTCGTTGTGAATCGCTCTCTCGAAATCGGACAACCCGTGATATACGTTTCGATGAATTATCGGTAAGCTCATTGCCATTGGTCTTGCATCCGTATTTGAACATATCGCCTTGATATCATAGGCTGAGCGGTACGTGTTGGCCCTTTTGCATCTGGCAAAAACCCTTATAGTCTCCAAGCCTTCGGCTTCTTGAACGGTCGCGAGCTCGCGAACGCCGGTCTTGGGAATCTGGGTCTGCAAGACCGTGAGTGCACTATATCCGCTGATAGAATTCTGACTTGACTCAGAACTGCAGAGCGCGAGTCGCTGCGGTGGATTCAGAGGCACATCAGCGCGTTCGGAGGCGACCCCAAGAAAGTAACCATGTTAGTACTTATGCCTTGGATACCCTTATTGATTATACACTAAGCTCATTGCTTTCGCAGTTGGGGAGAGAGCGCAGGTAGCCAGTCTGTCGCCTTCCACATGCTCGCGAATAATGGCAACACCGAGGGTCTGTTCCGTGCGGCATGGATGGAGTCCGGTTCTGTCTCTCCTGCGGGCAATGTCTCGAAGGTCCAGCCGAACTTCGACTTCATCGCTTCGGAAACCGGGTGCGCAAACGAAATCGATATTCTCGAATGTCTGCGGCATGTCCCTGCGAGCGCTATCCAGGCTGCGATGAACAAGACGGCAACATATCTATCGTTCCAGGTTCGGTAATCGTTTGACGAGACAGTCCTCAGATGATATCTCTGCGTACTGAGTGGACGTGCACACAGGCCCTTAATACCCCATGGATGCCACACGCAGACGGGCTCTTCATTACAGACAACCCTCAGCGTCTTACCTTGGAAGGAAAGGTCGCAGATATACCTTTCGTGATCGGTGAGCATCTCGAGTGAGACTCTCAACCGCCAGTGAGACGTTGACCGGCTGCCTATCGTAGGCTCCTGCGAAGACGAAGGCACACTCTTCTCGCTTGTCACTCTCAACCTAACGTCAGTCACGCAACAATGCCTGTGATGACTTCCTGACACATCCCTGTAGGACGCAGAGCGAGGTCGCTGCGTACCTGTCGAGCAACTACTTCCCTAACGCGCCCAAGGAGAACATCACGCGCCTCCTAGAGCTATACCCCTCGAACCCCGCTCTCGGCTCTCCATTCGGCACCGGCAACAAGTTCGCGTTCTCGCCCCAATACAAGCGCCTTTCCGCAATCCAGGGCGATTTCTTCTTCCACGCCCCGCGCCGCTTCCTGCTCCAGCAGCGCTCCGGAAAGCAGGTGATCCGGTCCTTCCGTGAGTAGTTCAACGCACCATATCTGGGTATACGGGTAGCTAACCGTCGACTGCCCGCAAGTGAGCGAACGGAACAAGATCACAGGCATGGGCGCGGTAAGTGTACCTTTATCGCGACGAATACCGAATATTATTCACATCGTCGCAACTACTAGACTCACACCACCGAGCTCGCGAACGTCTTCGGGGGCGGGGACATGACGGACTTCCTCGTCCGTTTCGTCAACACGCTCGATCCGAACGGGGGTCACGATATACACTGGCCCGAGTATACGACCAAATCGCCGCAGCTCCTCGTCTTCGCGAACGGAAGGAAGAAGTTGGAGGTCATACCTGACACGTTCCGCAAGGAGGCGAACGACTTCTTGATGCAGCTCAGTATCGAACAGCCCGTGTAGTTACGAAGTGGATGTTGGGCGCGCACAATGTCAATGATTCCGCTATTGAACAACACAATCGTTCTTATCGCACTACTGTACATCTTCATAGGAACACGAACGCGGTCCCTCTGGTGAATAGACCGGAGCAAGCAAAAAGGGCCTGGCCGGGAATTGAACCCGGGACCTCCTCCAAATTGCACATGCCCTAAGAAGGAATCATACTACTAGACCACCAGGCCGTGACGTTATAGTATTCTGTTGCATACCTCTCCACCAAGTAGTCTCTTGCCTCTTAGTACACCCCACCTGCATTTCCTCTCACAGGACGGGTGCTGTTGCAATGCAACATATAATGAGTGTGCCCTATGACGGTCGGTTGTACATCGTCTTGAGCCCCTTCACAAGGAATAAATGTGTCTTCGGAAGGTGAGCACGTACATGTGGACAGCTTCTGGTGATCAAGGTCTAGCCAGCGAAGACTCCATCGACTAACCTATCCGCTTTGTAACGTAGGGCGGCATCAGAAGTCGTGAATATGGATATGTCGCCCCAGATGTGAGGGCGGCATAGGCAACGAAGGGCGCGGCAAGTTATGTAGAGCCTGAGGGCTACTTGATCATCATCAGGCAACCTGTGGAAGAAAAGTCATGAAGGATCACTTCCAGTTGCCGAGAGCAGGACTTCGCTAAAGCACAATTCGGGGTTTGCAATGGGATTGCGCTCGAGTGATCGTCAGTGGACCGTGTGATATCCCAACACAGTACCTCCGGACATGATGGTACACTACTGATACAGAGAACCAAGGAATAGGCCATGACGCCCAACCGTCCACTACTTACTCACTTTGTGATCGCCTCTACATTGCGCAAACCCTCCCCACGCCCGTCAGTTAACTTCGATAGCGACGCGCACCCCCGCGCTCTCGAAACGCTCCAACAGGGGCCACAAGAGCAGACGACCGTCCGTGCCCTGCTCGTAGCTTGCGCGCTCAGCGTCGTAGACGACGCCCGGTTCGTCGACAACGGGACGGACGACCGCGGGGAGCGCATGCACCGCAAGCAGAGAGAAGGCGGGATACCGCCGGCTGCTGGTGGTCGGCTGAGGCTCGCCTGCTTGTCCGCCATCGTCGGCGACCAGCACGGACGCGAGGCGTCCGAAGGCGTCCGCGCAATTCAGGATGCGGTCGACGCGGGCGACGAATGTGAGGGAGAGCTGTTCGAGTTTGGGGAGGGGGGCCGGGCTAGGACGAGAGGGAGAATGCTCCGCGGTGCCGGAGAGCGTGTCTGCGAGCGCCTCGAGGAAGAACGGGAAGATCGGGGGTGGACCCCAGCCGGTGACGTGCGCAGAGGCTCTCACGTTGTTACCATCATATTGGATAGAGAGGGAGCGCAGCTCGTGACAATGAGGGAGTGAGGCATAGAGACGCTCGATGTGGCTCCCTACAGAAGTGATGTTCGTACGTCAGCGAGAATGTATGAATGTGCTGGTATATCTGTGGTTCATGGACTCACGACCGTCGACATGCACAGTGCCGTCGATATCCATGTCTTTAACAGCAATTCCCAGATGACGAAGAGAGGCCCGATATGAAGGAATAACTGGGCGATGAGACGGCCCGAAGGGAGGAATATCAGGCCAATGATTGCTGCGAAGGTCGAGTGACCGAATCGCGATATAGTCAGGAGAGAGCCGATCGAAGAAGCTCATAGCAGCATCAAGTTCGGCATGTGGTATGCGACTGTTTGTAATGGACAGCGCCTTCAAAGCCCACCGGCGAGATGGGACTCGCTCTTGGCGCACTGAACGCTCGAGCTCTGCCCATCCAGACGACGGGAAAGCGCCATTGTCGAGTCTATTCACATGGAGGCCTGCGATACAGAGCGATTCAAGAGTGGGGAACGTATGAGCCAAGAGGACTGGGGAGAACAAGCACCCTGCAAAAAGCTGGCGGAGCTCGAGGGAGCGCAGTGACGGTAGTTTGGAGCATACGCGCTCTACAAGCGGTAAGTGCCCTTCTTGACTCGGTACAAGAACCGCTTTGGACGTGCGCCGGATGGAAATTGAGTGGATAGCTCGTGCGATGGAGGGCCGGTCTTCGAGGATCTGGAGGAGCGACCGTACTCGTGGGGGTACGTAGGAGACATCGGCGGACGGTAGGGCGATAGTGACTCGGCTCCACAGGCGAGAACGACACAAGCCGAGAAGGATACGACATGTTTCGGAGCAGCTGGCGAGGGACTTCTTATCGCTCGCGAGATTAGCTATGATTTCTTCGACGAGCTCTTGAGGCAAGGTCAGGAGAACCATGGTGACCGTGCACAGGGAGCAACCTATGGTACCCGGTGAACGATCCGAATGATGAGTTTAGCCTGAAAGCAATCACAAGGCACAGAAGATCAATCTCATGCAATTTGACTGGCTCCGACACACACGCCATAGATCTACACACTGACCGACGGTTTCTGCCAACTTGGAGGTCCAGAAGCTCCTTGTATCGGGCCCAGTTGTGAGTATACGAGATCTCAAGAAGTATGCTTGATACTCCAACAATCCTGAGAGCTACGCGGTCGACATATGGTGAGATACGCGGAAAGATGAGGAGAGAGCATCGGACTAGTGGGGCGCGGGGGCAATGCGGCTTTGGTACGACGCCATCGCCGCTTTGGCGCTCGTTCCAGGCGCTGAGCGAGCGAAGCGTTTGTCAGTGTGCCGGTAGATTGGGCACACTCGAGCCGGCCCGAGTAGTAGAGAGCTGTATCGGGCTATACATACTCAGTAGTATACGAGGCCCCGGCGAGCCTGACAGATTGAAGTCGGTGCCTGTACATGTCGTCTTCGGCTACGCCGGGGTTGACTACCTGCTACCTAGCTTCATCGATGGCAACCTTGGTTGAGGATGCCGATCATACCGGCTCTTAGAGGATGTAGTGGAATGGAAGAAATTGGCGCCCTCCTAGTCGCTGATCAACTTGCCGTTCACGTTCAGACCCCGCGATGGGCACCGCTGAATTCGAACTCCGAGCTGGAATCGACAGTATAACCACTTCGACTACCATCACTAAACCGACCTACGGGCGTTGCCATAAAACTTGCAACTACAGACGTACAGTATAACAGTACAATAGCGAGTTCGTATTGCTCAAATGTGCTCCAGATATGCGACCCAGGTTCGTTCAAGTAGAATCCACCGTGACCTGGACACCAGCTCGTACAAAGCAGTCAAGCATCGGCATGACCAACTCGTCCATATCCTCGGCCTGCTTCGCCCGCTCCGCCTCCAACCTCGCATCGCCGAAGAACACGCCGAACACCTGCAAAGACTCGGTCTTGACTGCCAGCCGTGCGAATCGGGGATACCGGTTCACCGCAGCGCCGACGCGGGTCTTCGAAGGCTGGGGCACGAGCACGTGAGCGAGGCGGGCGAACGCGTGGTCGAACCCAAGGAGCCATCTCGGAGAACTGAGGAAGACGAGCGTTAGCTCTTCGAGGTAAGGAATGGAGGAGGCGTCGGACCCGGCGAGGACCGAGGCGAGCTCTTCCAGGAAGAAGGGAGCGGGGTGGGAGATTTCGTGGGAGTGGGCCCCGCCGTCGCGTTCGCTGGCACCGATCGAGCCGAGTATATATGGCAGAAGCCGGTTGTATTCGATGCACAGGAATCTCAGAGAGTGGAACCGCGGCAGCGCCGATAGTGTGCGTCGAATGAAGTCACCTGAAGAGAATAATCCAAGTGCGGTCAACAAGGGCAACGCGAAGCACCGTCGTATCCAACGGAAACCACTCACGCCCTTCGGATAAGACCATGTCATCATTTACCACGTCACCGAACGCAATCCCGTAGGACCGGAGAGACGGTGCAAAAGCGGGAGTGCTAGGAAGGGCGTCCCAACGCTCGATGCGATGGTAGCGTAAGTCAAGAGACTGGAGAGAGACGTAGTTCGGTGTCCAGAGCTCGAGCAGCTTCACCAACCACACAAAATCGGCTTCTGGAATCATGCCCCGATGAACAGAGAGCGCGCGCAAGCTGGAGCGTTGCATAGGTTCGTCCACCGCGCCACTTCGAGGAGATACCAGCCATTTGGGCCAGGGGCGCGCGCCTTTGGACGCACGAGCGGTTGTGTAATCGCCAGTACAGTGCACGCCATCTAGATGTAGCGCCTCGAGGGTGGGATAGTCCTGGACGAGCGCGAGGAAGTCGTATAGACCTGGAGCATCGACGTTGCGGAGCTGCAACGTCCGCAACGCCGGAAGCCGGGCGCGCAATAAGTCCCATACTGCCCGGTCCCAGGTTACGTAGTGGTTGCCGAAGTCCAGCTCATCCGCCTCGTCGCAATGGGGGTTCAAAGTGACAGGCTGCAATGTGAGCGAGCGGACGTAGAACGAGATGTGGGGGTTGGCGTCGAGTACTTTGAGGAAGGCGGTGGTGAGCGTACTCAGCGAGCCGTCCAGATGGAAGGATAGTGCGACGTCACGCCAAAGCGCAGCGCGAGCGGCGGGCAGGAGAGCATGGCAAATCAGAGTGCATGCCCCTAGAGAGCGTCCTCGACCTCTTCGGGCCGATAGAAGACCTATTATGTGCTCGATGATCTCTACCGGAAGAGTAGTAGTTGGCATGATCAGGACACCCAGGAGGGAGGGAAGGCAGGGTCAGGTGCGATGTGCTGTTGGGAACTGGGAGCAAGGGTAAAAAGGAAAAGCCATAGTGAGGAAGGCTGGGAACATATCATCATCCGCGTACGTTGCCACAGATCGCAGGCCATGGAGCGGCGGCCAGCCTCACATCCCAGCCTCAGCCTGGGCGCTCCCAATGCCGCAACATAACCTCGGTAAGTACATTTTGATGGTTTCTACTGCACGGACGCCATATACTCGTACGCAGACATTAGGTAGTGGTAGGTAGTATACTCACCATGAGGTCCCCATATAGTGGCCTGTCTGGCACTCAGGACCTCGTACTAATTAGACACCGTATATATGCGATGAATCAAGTGGCCATCTCACCAGAAAGTGCGATACTACGATCAGACGACACCTCAGAGTCTGACACACGAGACACCCTAGCACATACCAAGCAATGTACTTAGCATGAGCGCAAGGAAGGTGACCTCGGAGTTGCTTAGATCTGAGGCGCGCAACCTGAACTCGCCATCAAGAGTCAGCCCCAGAAGGTCCGACGGGAGCCCCACGGTGCCCATGCCCGGGCCGCTATCGACCGTGTAGAAGCAATCGAGAGAGCGTAGAA